ATTTTTAACAGAGAACCTATTTATATGGACCAACTTTCAAAAATTACAAAAGAATATAAAGAATGTGTAAAGTGTTTCCTTCTAATCCAGTTTCTCCCTGGGGGCAGCATACAGAACCAGCTTTTAAGGCATCCTTCCAAAGATAGTGTGTGCACAGATTATGTGTAGCTCTACTTTTTTTTTCTTTTACTTAAAAGGCAGCAAGTTAAGGCACAGTGTACAGGCCGACCTCCTTTTTATTGTGCCAGCAAAAAGATTACCACTTACTTTGTTGCGATACTGGCATTATTGCAATGGTCTGGAACCAAGCCTGCAATATCTCTGAGGTATACCTGTATTGATCTTGCCTCTTTCCCTTAGTATAGCCTATCTTACTCATTCTTTTTTGTGGCTACATAGTATTTCATTGATTGGCTAGACCATAATTTATTTACCGGGTCCCCTATCCGTGTTCACTCTGATGGTCTATCACGATGATATGCTGCGGAGCCAGGGGCCAGGGGCAGGGCTAGGCGAGCAAGTGTCTAGGGAGCAGAATGGAAGGGGGCACCAGCTCTCAGTGTCATGCAAATGCAGGGCCCACACTTGCAGGAACCTGAGAGTGAGTGCTGGCTTCTTGAATTTTGCACTCACTCCCCTTATCCTACTCCTAGCCCTGCTCTGCTCTGACAGACAGGCTGCAATAAAAATTCTTATTTGTAAATTTTTTCCACACATATTGTTGGGAAAATTTCCAGGTGTTAAAATGTTGGGGTTAAAGTGTATGTCAGTTTTCAAATTTGAATTAAGGAAGCCTTTTACACCCCAGCCAATACTCTAAGAAATGACCGGTCTCCCCATACCCTGACCAACAAATTGTATTAGCAGCACTTTTTGGCTGTTACTGCTTGGGTGGGTAGCACATCAAGAAGAATGTGGACAAGCTAACTGTTTAAGAGATGAGGCCTGAAATCATAGTCTTACATCTCAATATAGAAACTCTTGGGAGTTGCCTGCAGCTCCCTCTTCCCCATAGTGTTCACCCTGCAGCTGCTCTTGGCTCTGACCAGGAGATGATCTATGTACCCATTTCCATTCATAGCTGAGAACAGTAGCTTTGGAGTCAGGGTGGGTTAACCCCAGGTGGGATCTGAATTTAGGGCTGCCAGATACAGCAAATAAAAGCACAGGAATACAAACATTGCATGAGATCCACTAATACTAAAATACTATCTGCTTGAAATTCCGTATAACTGGACACCTTGTATTTTATGTAGCAGCCCTATCTGAGTTAAAAGTCCATTGAGCACCTTATAAACTCTGTGACCTTGAATGAGGGCTTTACCTGTGTCTTGGTTTCCCCATTTGCATTGTTTTACTGCCTCGGGTTCTTGTAGGGGCAAATGAGGTCATCTGTGTAAAGCACTTAGCTCAGTGCCAAGAACAGAATAGGCACCCCCAAAATGTGAGCTCTTTTTATTTGTTACTCTGGTTTGTACACTCTTCACTGCCCCACTTTCCAAAGGGTGCCGGGTTCTCTTTCTGACCTCTGTGCTTTGGCCTGCTATTTCTTTGCCTAGGAAGGCTTCCTTCTTTCTGCAGCAGGCCCTCATTCCTCCTAAGCCTTTTGGTGTTTGATTAGAGCGTTGCTTGCTCTGGGAAGACACTCTCACACCTCTCAGCTGTGTAGGTCGCCCCCATCCTGTGCTTCCGCAGGCCCCAAGACTTCTATCACATAACTTCACAAGTCACGCGATGCCATGTCTGGTCCCCCTTCTAGACTTTGAGCTCCATGAGAACAAAGGTAACTCACTTCCTTGTCCTTCCGGCCCCTCTCCCTCCATTCACCTCCTGCCAAGCCATGACCTAGCACATGGTGGGGCAGCAGGTGTGTGTTGAATTAACGCCTATCTGAAGACAAATAATGTCTGTTCTTTTTGCTTTATGATAACTGGGGCCTTTTAGATTTTGCCTCTGACTTTGAAAGAGCAGGGAGTATATTTGGAGTTTTAACTGTGCAACTTGTATTGGCTTTTCATTATATTGTGTATTTAAAGTCCCAAATGAGACCAGATATTTAGGGGCATAGCCACTGGTGCCAAAGTTCAGATTATAAAATGGAATCTTAAAGGAAAAAGAGGTAGTCTTTCTAAATAAGACCTTATCACGCATCTGACCCCCAGCAGCTCTAAACAGAAATGAACTGTCATTCCTTCCCCTGTGGGGCCTCGCCAGTACCAAAGGTAAATCTGCTTATAACTGTTCTGGAAGTTCTTTGTCCTTGGACATTTGAACAATGTCTTACATATACCACGTGCTTAGTAGTCTCCTGGTGAGTGTTCCATCATTGCGTATGTACACATCTTACAGTGGCACCAAGGTTGGCTTTAAGGAACATAAATACTGGAGCGATGATCACTTTCGGGGGGAAATAATTCGTGGAAGACTGTGGCCAACAGTAGCAAGTTCAGACAATGACAGACATTTACATATTTTCTCCTCTGTTTTCTTACACAAACAGGACAGAGCTTACACATAGTCACATGTCCGTTTTTTCATTCCATTTCTAGTATCACAGTCCTGTTCTAGTTTTCACTACCTCCTGCCCAAAAGCCACAAAATCGGCTCTCTGCCGGCCCCTCTCCCTCCATTCACCTCCTGCCAAGCCATCCCATCTGCCTGTGGCCAATGAGTCTATGAGGACAGAGTCCTAGCATGACAGCGCCCTGCCCAGAACACAGCAGGGCTCCCCCACCCCACTGCCTCCCTATCCTGTGCAGTGCAAGTGCACAGGGAGTCAGGGCATTACCTTCAGAGGGGCCCCTCCCCTTTAATCTAGGCCTGGGCCAGCCTTGCTGGGTCACCTTCCAGTCCGGGAACAGCCACACTGTGGGTGGGTCTGCAGTGACAGAAACCCAAACAAGACATCCTAAAAAGCTGCAAGCTTCTTGTGTGGTGGACCTTGAGCTTAGCTCTCCTGGTTTCCACAGTTACCAAAAGCTGATCCTGAAAGTCATACAGATATGGAGGGGACCCTTGGGAAAAGAAGAACAAAGTTGGAGAACTCACACTTCCTGATTTTAAACTTATTCGAAAGCTACAGTAATCAAAAAACTATGACACCGGCATCAGGATAGACACACAGATCAATGGAATAGAATTGAGAGTCCAGAGATAAACCCTCACATTCGGGGTCAATTGATTTCTGACCAGGTTGCCAAGACAGTTCAATAGGAAAAGGGTAGTCTTTGTAACAAATGGTGCTGGGGCAACTGGATATCCACATGCAAAGGAGTGGCTCTACCTCTTTTCTTTTTACTTATTTTATTAGGATTAAATATAAAACCATTTCAGTGACATGGAAATTCTCAACTTCTAGGCATCTGACAGCATATCTAAAAGTAAAGGAACATGCAAGCTGGCAGAATTTTGAGGAGAAATGGATAGATCTACAATTAAAGTGGCAACTTCACCAAGTCTTTCAGAAATTGGTAAAGATCCATAGGCTAAAAGTAAAGAATAATGTCATAGGAGATCTGCCTCATGCCATTAACAAGTGTGATTGAGTGGAATATGAGGAACTGCATATTCAAGTTAGAGAAGGCACATTTTTCATAAGCTCACATGGGAGGTTTAGAGAAACTGGCATAAACTTGACTGTAAAGGAAATCTCAACTACTGCTAATCTTTTTTTAGTAATAATTTCTTATATGGTTTTGTGTTTCTTTTATTTCTTTTCCGAGTTATTTCTACCTGTTCCTATTTCACCCCTACCTATTTTATAACCAACTAGGTGAGTTCCTCTATTTCTCCTTTATGATCTTTCTTAGCTGTAATTGCTTCATAAAGACTTTTTCGCTTTCTTTTTAATTCATGATGGAAATGAAATGTTGGGTATAATTTTCATCTGCTTATGGCAGCCTTTTTTCAGGTCAGTTTTCATTATCCTTTGGGCATTTGGGTTGCTCTTTTTCATCATTTTTCTTAGGCTGTCTTTGCACTATACTGAGCATATTCCTCGGGACTAACATGGTGCAGGACGTACGTCCTTTCCCTACTTCACTTTTCTCAGCAACGCTTCATAACAGTGGAGAGGGATTGGAAACATGGGAAACGGACTCTTAAGTTTGAAGGGAAGAATTTATGTGTCTTTGGCTCATAACCTGTCCCCACTAACTGAATCAGTGCCTTATACATAGTCTGCACTCAGTAATTATTTGTTGAATAAATTAGCACAGAAGGACTCAAAAAACAGATGTGTAACTGAAATGTTCATTTTAAAACTCAATTACTAAAGTTTTAATGCATTATCGTGAGAAATATGGAAGCCAGGGATCTGAGGGAGGAGGTCCCCACACACCACCTTTTTGCTAAATAATCATCTCCGTACTGAATCTGTATGCCAGGGGAGATACACTTAATAGGAAGAAGTTGAGCCCTTAAACTTTTACACACCACTAATGGAATATAAAATGCCTCCTTCTCTGTATGAGGTATGTTTGGCAAGATGTATGTGCCAGCTGATCAAGCCATTCAGGTTCTAAGAATTTTTCCTATAAAGGTGCTCACATAGTTTGCAAGGCCACGTGTATAATATTAAAAACTTCAGTTGGGGACTCAGGTTCAAAGCTGGGCCCACACACCACAGGGGTGCCCATCATGACCCACTGAGATGAGACAGAAGAGTTAAAACTATTTATATTTATTTTTCATGTAAATAAAAGATAGAACTCAAGCTGCACCATCATTTAATATTACAATGACTCTGCCATCATTCAGTCAGCAGCCTTGGGTCAGATGGCCACTGAGTCATTGAATTCCAAGGCATCCGGAGGGAAGGACAGATCCATCCAGGGAGGTAATGGTTCCCATCTCACTTGTTGATTTGCTCTTAGCATATGATTACTTCTGCAGTTTCCATGTGCTCAGTTGAATGGATCTCTACGTTATTTCCTCTTATTTTGTGTTAGTAAATGTATAAACAACCTGGCCATTAAAAGATGTGACCCTCACTTTTTCAGGGGCGCCCTGGCGGAAGGAGCAGACGGAGGACCTGCAGCGGGTGCTCAGGAACATGGACAGCGAGATCCCACTGGTCCTGGTCAGCGGCAACCATGACGTGGGCAACGCCCCCACCCCCGAGACCATCGCAGAGTTCCAGCAGACTTGGGGAGACGACTATTTCAGCTTCTGGGTCGGGGGCGTCCTGTTCCTTGTCCTCAACTCCCAGTTCCTTTTCAATGCCTCCAGGTGCCCTGCCTTGAAGCAGGCCCAGGACCAGTGGCTGGACCAGCAGCTGAGCACCGCCAGGCAGCAGAAGTGCCAGCATGCCATTGTCTTCCAGCACATCCCGCTGTTCCTCCAAAGCATCGACGAGGACGATGACTACTTCAACATCACCAAGACCGTTCGGAAGGAGATGGCAGACAAGTTCACCAAAGCAGGTAGTGGGTGGGATACCAGGTGTCTGGGTGAAAGAGTGGTCTCACGAAGAGGTTTCAGATCCTTCTTCTGCCCCTCTAAGCCCGGCAAAAGGGAGAGAGGATGAGTATATAGGCAGAACTAGGTTCTGATCCCAGCTCTGTCACTCTGGCTGTGAGGCCTTGGACAAGCAGCTCAGCCCTTCTGAACCTCCCTTCCTCATCTGTAAAATAGGAATAGAAGTAGCTCTCATAGGCTGGTTTTGAGGGTTAAGTGAGAAGAGGCTGTAAAGCATTAGAATTACCCCTCACCCACAAGTACTAAAGTTGGGGTAGCTCTCACAGCTGAGGATGGGGGCAGGGTCTGAGCGTAATAGCTTCTACCCCAGAAAAGGGAAGCTCCCGGGGCGCCTTTTCTCATTTTTCTGAGAAGCAGGAACTTGTCCAAGGGCAGAGGATCTTTAAGAGCCAAGCTTCACACTCCTTTAGACGTAAGGTGGGAAATCCTGGGGTGGGGCTGTAGGGGGCAGGCCCTGGGACCTCACTGGTGTTCCTTTAGAGTGGACAAAGTTCTCCAGAACCAGGAGAGAGAACTGGATTTGGGGTGATCTTATATTAAACGCATTTAGTCTCTTGTACATTTTGAACTGATCATGCATTTGACATGTGCATGCACACTCACACAAAAGTAAGACGCACCTTTTGTAGAGATCTCAGTTTCTGGTGGTGCTCTCTGTGGCACTAGCTCACACACCGCGTTTCTCCTGGTAGCACTTGCAGTATTCCCCTCATGAACAATGGAACCATCTGAGCTGATTCCCTGAAGTACCATGGCTTGGCAGGATTCCAATTCTGACAACTGTTGTGTTTCTTGTTTTGGGCCTAATCCCTCCTTTAATATCTTTCCAGAGTGTACTTCTTCAGACTTTTCTAAAATGTACATTTATTTGTTAGGGGATAAGGAGGGGGAGGTGGGCTAACCAAGTAGCAATCATTCATTAGAATTTGAAAAGAATCCTGACACTTTTCTTTTCATCTTTGAGTATTAAATGAGTTTGCATTTACTTGTGAAAAGTACAATAGGCCCTTCTGTGTTTCTGAGGCATTGTACAAAAAGCTGGCATAATTGGAGACATTTTCCAACTGTTCCATGGAGATGAAGTTAGAGAATTTCTATTAAGGGCCTTGAGATTTTGTACTGTGCTTGAGTTGGTGCAGAAAACCATTTTGATGACAAGGAAATAAAGTGTTGAGATGGCATCAGCACCACCATGGAGACTATTTTGTAACAGAGAATAATGTCAGAGAACATGTAATGCCACTGAAATGATTCCTTTCATAGCAAATATTCAATGATACAAATGCTGTCCCCATAGCTACTCTTTGTTCTCTAGTCTTGTCAGCTACAGTCTTGAGTGGCATGTGGTTCTGGGTTTCTCGTTGTAGGTTGGAGCACATGAGGACCCCTAGCAACCCCAGATATTAAGACCTGTAAGTATTTATAAAGAGAGAGCCCACAACTCTTAACAGGTCATCCTCAGAGAAGCCTGCTGCTCCCCTACCAGGAACCCCAGAGGGTGACATCATTATCTGGGACCCACCAGTCACCTCCGTTTTCAAGCCTGTACCCTTGTAGGCTCAGGATTTGTTTGCATCGCCAGAGGTGGTCTGTGTCTTGGAGGTGGATTCCACTTGCACTGGCTCACAGAAACTAATGTCTACCATAAGGTGCCAATAATTTAGGGCAAGACTGAAACCCTCCCCTCAGCCCCAGTAGCACAGCCCTGAGGGCAGAGTGACATGGGATCCCAAATTTTAATCAGGAAGTTGCTTGAAACAGAGTAGGGATCTGGGTTTCTTATTCCACTCTGAATGACATCAGGTTCTGGAACCCTGATGGACTCTCTCTAGTGGGGCCGCCTTGCCCAGGAAGACTCTAATATGTCATGTGCCTTTAATTCTACCTCCTTAATATCTCTCCAGCTTGTCCACTCCTTTAGGCAACCGTCGCCTCTCATCTGGGTCACAGCAGCAGTTCTGAACCGGTGCCCCTGCCCGACTCTTCACCGTTCCAGCCCGTCTCCACCTAGCAACCAGAGGGGCATGCAGCCCCTCCGCCCCTCACCCCGGGACAAGGCCAGCTCCTTACCTTTCCCCATCGCCTCTGCCTCATCCATGTGACCTGGCCAGTGCCTCCTCAGCTCTGACACCTTCAGTATGAGCTGTCCCCTGGCACTGTCCCACTTTTCAGCTTTCCTTGATCCCAGCATATTTGTACATCTTGACTTGTCTGACTCCCCCAGTAGACTCTTAGCTCCTTGCACACAGAGACACTGTTGTAGTCACCTCCTCGTTCAGGAGGCCCGGCTCAGGTCTCACCTCATAATGAATGCTTCATCAATATTTGTGGGATGAGTGAAGGACTGAAACTGACTCACACTCCTTCCCTCAGTGACCGCCTGGCAACAGGTCCTAGCTTTGGTGAGCACCACTTTATGCCAGGCATGCAGCAGACCAAGTCCGTGTGTCTGCAGAGCTCCAGGCACAGCCTTTCCGTGGTGTGTTCCGAGTGACATCACATGGCTTTCAAGTCCTTTGGTCTCGTGCATCTTTCTGCTCTGATCCACATGTGGGCTTTCCAGGTTCACTAAGCAGTCAGTTTCTCTCTCCACAAATAGCCCTCCATATTCCCACCAGACACCACCACCTTCATATGTGAGAAGGTGTCACCTTCTTGGCAACTGGCATTAGGATCTTCACCTAGACCTGCTTTTAAGGAAAACCAGAGAGGTAGGTGCCCTTCCTGTTAGTCACGTGTCAGTTTTAGTGGCTTAACCAAATCAGGCTCTTTGCTTAGTGGCCTTTCGAACACAGAACAAACCACAGGCAACATCAGGAAGAGACTGGATCAGATGTGGCCACAGCTCTGGCAGGCTGAGTAACTGCTTGGTTTGGAAGCTTCGGTAGGTGGGCTCTCATAGGGCAGGTATGCACCCGTGACTCAGTAATGCAAGGAGCTACGAGTCTACTGGGGGAGTCAGACAAGTCAAGATTGCTTGGGATTGCTTGGGTCGCAGCAATGTAATTTGAACTCATTTTGGAAAGCCAGAAATTCAAATGACATTTTGTAAAATTAATTAACTCAAAGACCATGATAAAATTGGGGGCGATGATGACAAGATGGTATTTAATACTGCCCTAGCTTTTTTCCTCCACAGCAGTATTATTCCCCAATACTGTTTCAGTCGCATTTATCTCCTTGTGTTAAAATGCCAGTACTCAAAAATATGTCAAAAGCTCATCAGAATATCCAGGGTAGCTTTTAATTATGATAATTGTGTTGTTATAAAATATCCTTTTAAAGAGCACATCCCTCCTCAAACCACCTTGGAGGTAAAACCCAGCTTCTTTCCAGCGAGCTTAATGAATAATTCTGAATCATTGTGTGGGATGAATAAATGATTTAATAACGAACATCAACAATCATCTCACATTGTTGCATTAATTTCTAAATGGGATGAGATAGGTGAGGAGGAGGGGTGTTACTATACAATGGGCCACCGTGTGTGTGGGGATGTGATCTCTGAATCAGGCCTGTGAGCTTCCCAGCTCAAGTTTCCCTAGAAACGGATGCATTCTGTTTCCCTTTCTGAAGCTCCGTAAAAAACCTTCTTTGTATGATATAAAACGTTGTCAATAGCCAGTGCAAATAAACAGTTATCAGGGCGGGACAGATGCACAGATTTGAAGCGGCACCCGTTATTTTCTGTCTTCATTTTGCTCTTTCTGCGGATAATCAATTCCATCACATCCACGGGATGTTGAAATTGGTTTTTCCCTTACTTCACCTGATACCTAGTTGGAGTTGCAAAGACAGATAGTAGATAATGAACTCTTGTCTGACCCTGGCCATTGTCTCCCTCCCATGTGCCTTCTTCAGCAGTTGGTTAATATGGGACCCAGCTAATGTGGATTCTAATCTAAACACTCAGTCTTAAAAAACAAAAGTCTAACTCTTTAACTGTTTGCCTTAATGTCTTGAGACCTTTTCTTTTCTCCTTTCTTCAGCAGGGAGATTAGCACTATGTAGTAGAGAGCCCAGAGCGAATTTGACAATTAAGAAAAATCCCAAAAAATGATCTTTCCTGGAAAAGTTAATGAGTAATTTCACAGAATTTTAGTTTCATCCCTAGTATTTATGCTTTAAAAACAGAAAAACAAAACAAAAGAAAAAAACTAGAGAGAGAGCGCTCTTAGCCCAAGGTCATGGCCTTAGAATTTTGAAGTTTTTAAGAACAAAAAAGTTAGGTTTCCAGGTTTCACTTTATAGGAAAAAGAAAACACCAAATCATACCCTAACATCTTACTACATTGTACTGAAATTATTTTATATCTGGGCTTTTTTCAGGGAGTAGGATCCCAGCTTTGTTTACCTCTTTAAGCCTAGCCCCTAGCCCAGACTTTCACATAGTAGCCTCTCAATATATTGATATTGGTTACATGGAACCGATTTAAACTTGATTCAAATCTATTTATCAGCAGAATCATAAGTAATGTCCATATTGCCTGTAGATAGGTGTTTACCAACTGACTTTTGAATGGGAAATGCATTACCTAGAGCAGGAATTGGCAAACTTGAAAACTTTTTGCTAAGGGTCAAAAATTGTGGACCACAGTCTCTGTAGCGACTACTCAACTCTGCCTTTGTCGCATGAAAGCAGCCACAGAGGATACATAAAGCAAAGAGGCGCGGCTGTATTCCAGTAAAACTTCATGTACAAAAGCAGGTGGTGGTCTTACAGGCCACAGTTTTCCCACTCTTGGCTTAGAGAAATGTTCCCATTGCAGTGCGTCGTTCTTGCTCTTCCCCGTGACCTTGTCCACACTGTGCATATGTTCACTTCCAGGATGCTGTGGTGACTTCACTGTGACAACTGCATGACTCACTGCCCAGAACTAGGCTCAGGTTCCTCTGTGGAGGGTGTGCCTGGATGAGGCCTGTCCCAATGGAGGCCCATGATGTA